TTTAAAAGTCCTACGTAGGAGTTACAAACTCCTAATTAGGCTTTTATTATCTCCTACGTAGGAGTTATAAAGTCCTACGTAGGAGTTATAAAGTCCTACGTAGGACTTATAAAGTCCTATGTAGGAGATATAAAGTCCTACGTAGGAGTTTAAAAGTCCTACGTAGGAGTAATAAACTCCTAATTAGGCTTTTTTTTTATCTCCTACGTAGGAGTTATAAAGTCCTACGTAGGAGTTACAAAGTCCTACGTAGGACTTATAAAGTCCTACGTAGGAGTTATAAAGTCCTACGTAGGAGATACAAACTCCTAATTAGGATTTTTTATCTCCTACGTAGGAGTTATAAAGTCCTACGTAAGAGTTAAAAAGTTCTACGTAGGAGTTAAAAAGTCCTACGTAGGAGTTTAAAAGTCCTACGTAGGAGTTACAAACTCCTAATTAGGCTTTTATTATCTCCTACGTAGGAGTTATAAAGTCCTACGTAGGAGTTATAAAGTCCTACGTAGGACTAATAAAGTCCTATGTAGGAGATATAAAGTCCTACGTAGGAGTTTAAAAGTCCTACGTAGGAGTAATAAACTCCTAATTAGGCTTTTTTTTATCTCCTACGTAGGAGTTATAAAGTCCTACGTAGGAGTTACAAAGTCCTACGTAGGACTTATAAAGTCCTACGTAGGAGTTATTAAGTCCTACGTAGGAGATATAAAGTCCTACGTAGGAGTTACAAACTCCTAATTAGGCTTTTTTATCTCCTACGTAGGAGTTTATTTTTTATAGAACATTATGAATTGGCCCCAGGACGCTTCCGTACAACAGCGTCTTTGATGTTTACGGAATAGCAGTCACACAAATACAGAACAAAATTCATTGAAACACGATCATTTAAAGACGACAAAAGGATGTACAATTCATCCGTTTTTGTGACTGATTATTTTTATTTTTTTGTACTTAACTTACGATATAAATATCAAAGATTTTTTTAATTCTATTAACAATTAATAAGAGCTAACGGACAATCTATATTTGCGCTAATTACTTAGTATTGCACTGATTTCCCATTTTTACTCGATTATGATAATCAAGTAGCTTATCTCAGTGATGTGTAATCTTTATACTACAAGTAAAATGGTTTCCTGCGGGGAACATTTTTGATGATATAAAGATATTTCATTTAACTATCTTCAACATTGTTTGGGTGGGTGGATAAATAAACGTTTGTATCAGGAATATAGTTGACAATAATCGATCAATATAGAAGAAGGTCTTTGGGAACTGGTGACCGTTAATGACTGGAGAAGGTCGAACATAAAACAATTATTTCTTTTTAAGAAAATGATTAAATAGGCCTACCATTTTATGAATAATTCAGAGCAAAAAAAAAAAAAAAAAGAAAGCAAACACACAATTTTTCGCAGAAAACATCTCTATTTATTATGGCAGATGCCACTACGAATATTTTAATTTTGTAGATTTTCAGTATAAACAATTTATTGTTTGTAACATTTTAGATACATATTAAAGAAACATTGATAATTTTCAAACACATCGTTCAAGTTTTTTCACCTTAAACGGTATTATAATTATAGAAAATTAAAAATATCACGTAATAGTTTTTTGTTCTTAATTAGGTGTAATTCTGACTTATTCCCTAGAGGATTATCCGTAACGTACAGGCAAATGGTATTTAGCCAGGTTTTCGAAAAGGTCAATTAACCAATCATGTACGGTTTACAGATCACATGCTCCTCCATGTACCGAAAACACGTCACGTGCTCCTCTATGCCTCAAAAGTTAAACGCGTACCAATACCCTGCGGTCTCCAGACCGCAGGGAATAATCGACCGGAAAAGCGGCGACGCATGTATAGAATAGAGAAAAGGTAGTAATTGTTGGGATACAATTTAGTCTGATCTTAAATTCGTGGATTGACTTACCCACGAAAACCACGAAAATTCGTGCCCCGCGAATAATTATGTATACAGTATATTAGAAACATATTGTTTATTTAAACATTCTTTTTAAAATATCTTGATTTCATTATTGCACCAAACTTTAAGGTAGGGTTTTTTAAATTTCGTGCATCGACTTACGGTAAGATTGTGTAGAAATTGTAATGTCGGTCTTATATGTAATAGTTACCGTACAAGGAATAGGTCTGCATAGTATTTACAGACCCGGGTGGCGATTTGAAGACCGAGAGAGCGTAGCGATCGAGATTTTTAAAAGGCCACCGGGTCTGTAAATACTATGCAGACCTATTCCGAGTGCGTTAACTATCTTACCTACATGCTCTTTTGTTTTTCTATCCATACATCAGTTTTTAACTCGGTATTTATTAATATTACTCACAAGTAACATATTATTTATGTACTTTATCATGTTAAAGAAAGCATTCCAAAGCCAAGCAAAGATACCATCCGCTACGCTCTTGTAATTCATTCGTTCATAAATCAGGTGTTATTTGAATATTCTCGTGATTTTCGTGAGGTTTCGTTATGTAATAAGGTTAGGTAATGTACTTGTTGAGTTGAGTAACAGAAAATGAAATAAAAACTTGTCGAGTAGGGAAAGGTAAGATCATTATGTTGATATATGAATACATAACATATTAATAATATCAATAATATTGAGGAAGATAAAAACGTTTTCTAATCATAAAAACGGAACACTTTATCTTTATATATAATAAATTTCATGGTGAATAGATGACCAGGCTATTTCTTATATAATTAAAATATACAAATATACGATTTTTTTTCAAACGAAAGTAAAAGACGGGGTTCTATAAATAGATATTAGTAATACATGTAGTTACACCGTCATGTAAGTTCGGTTTTGTTGTTTTTTTATGATGGCTGAATTTTAATGTTCTAAGAATTTTATCCATGTTTGGAAGCGCAAGTCGTATTCTTGTGAAGAACAGGCGAGTACTGGTATACAAAATTAAAATTGTAGTGTAAAAATAACTTAAAATGAAAAAAAACGATCTTATCCTCAAGATGAACTATACTCTCACTGAAAGTAATATTTTGGTAAAGAAAGATGCAGAAGTTGACTTTGATTCGATATGCACTAATAATATAATCGTCGTATATATCCCATAATGCATAATTGATAAAATAATGCAGGATTGTGCAAAATCAGACATAGTTGTGGAAATAAATGCCGAAAACTAGTATCTTATGAATCTATATAGTTCGGCAAATGTGTTAGGTATACCGAAAAGCAAACTTTAATGAAAGGCTAAATGTGCGTTATTGTACTCATTAATATCGGCGAAACACAAACTTCAACGCCAGAACAGTAGCCAGTTCGTTTTTCTCACAAAAAATCTGGAATATATTTTATGAGGGTCCTTACAGCCGTATGCGCTAATTTAATCCTATTAAATTGATGACATGTACTTTAAAATATATATCGACCATTTTTCCTATTCAAAGTGGTCATTACCCCCCACCCCCGCCGCCATATAAATTTGCACAATTCAGCGTTATTTTTCAAAATTTCTGCTTTTACGGTGAATATTGTGTAATGCACGAGTTTCTCGACATCACATATTTTCTATTGTATAGAGAACAATAGAACAAAAACAGGTCGGTATATATTTGCACACCTGTTAAGCGGTCGGTAAGTGATTTACTAGACCGCTTTAAACAAAAGAGCCGATAGGTAAGTCGCGGTTCAGAACTGTTCACTATTTAGGGAATAACTTATATCATTTTGTACTCAAATGTTTAAGTTCAAAGAATTTAGATCAAAATATATTCAGAAATATTATTATACATGGCCTACTTGTGACAAATGAAACAACATAATTTAGCGAAATATTAATATCATGCAAATAGCAAAAACTGGTCATTTTTCTGTTATCATATTAGAGTGGATACCATTGCAATTGAACATGTCGTTTTAATGCAATAAAGTGTTTGCAGTTCCTGAAAACATTCTTCAGACATGTGAAGAGACAGAAGAATAAGAAATAATTTATAGGTAACTTATACATTTACAGTATCTCGTTACATACAATAATTACAAATATAATAATTTTGTTAACATGACAAAAGCACAGAAAAAAGATTATAATAATACACCAGTAAAACTATTGCTTACTGTTATGTATAAATTTCTTTCAGTATAATTTTATCTGTATTTACAAGCTTGAGCCAAAATTTAATGATTTGTACATTAAAGGGGTATCTCCCTAATTCGCCATACACTGCATTATTGCGAGCACAATGTTTTACTCCCAAAACTTAAGATGTACCCATTCAATATATTTAGATACACAAACCATGTATAGTAAAACCCCAAACAGGACATGCATAAATAAGTATTGAGCCAACAAAGGCATCAAATAAGTAGTGAAATATGAGGATTTAAATGAAATTGGTATAATATGTTATTCAATAAAATTCTCATAGTAATAGAAAGAGCACCGAAACACGAGGCTATCTGATTTGTACGAGGGGCATAGCCCCCGAGTATAAATCAGATTGCCTAGTGTTTTGGTGTTCTTTCTCTTTTGTATCATAGTCAAACATAAAAACACGTTCCCTGTTGTCACAATTTTAAACCCCGGGAAAAAGTAACCAATGATCGAGCATCTGAATATGATATTTCTCCCGCTTTCCCTTTCTCTGCCGTCACAATATGTAAACCCCAGCAAAAATGAGCTAATCAACGGGCATGATCTGGAGTGCGGGTAACTGATACCTGCACTCCAGTTACCGCACTGTGTATGTATATGTATACGATTTAACTCTGACACTTTTGCAACGGAAAGTCCCCAAATTATGATACAAGTTATTAAACCTTTCCCTACTGAGCACTGCGTATTTACAACAAAAAACGGTATAATCAAAAACAACCCCAAGATAATTAAAATCGTTTACAACTTCAAAGTGTTTTCCATTATAATACCATTTTTCACTTGTTTTGATCTGTCAAAATCTGATTTCAGTTAACAGCTCATTATTTCTTACATAGTCAATCTCACTTACCCCCTCCATGCATCCACTAGTTCCAACATTACAATAAAAAACACAAAGGTTGTGAATAACAAATAACAATGCTTCATTTTGTTTCGTTTACATCTGCATTGTGTACTGACCTGTGTGAAACCGCTCTAAGCATGATGGGAACGCACTACATTTTACATGGCGGCTTGAACACGGAAGTGATAGAACAAAACGCAAAATTAAACCTTTCCCATACCCTGTTGGCAAATAGCATTTACATCATTTTTACCCAAAACATGCATCAAACACCCCTTCTGACAATCCTTTAGTGATTTAACAAACCCAGTTTCGTTCAACACACATAATAGTATTTCGTCGATTGTTAGTTTAAAAGCGAAAGTAAAAGAAGTTTTGAATAGTTGAATAAATAGTAACACAGTCGAACTACCAATTGCACTTGCAAAATTAAACTCTGGAAAACAGTGATCCCTTGGAAGCAATAAACGCTTTAATTACTTGAAAAGATATATTGTGTTTTATAAAATGAAATTGTCATCCCAACACGGACTTCTTTATGTCGGAGTCATGTTTACCCTCATTTGGGGTGAGTAATGCGTCGTAAGACACAGGTCGATATTTGAGAGACCGGTGTACGGAATACCGTTAGGGCCATTGTGGTTATACGTTAAAATACAGAGGGCGACATACGAAAGTTCGACAGTGCGATTACGACAATACGACAGTGCGATGACGACAATGCGACAGTGCGATGGCGACAATGCGATAACACGATAAACGATGACGACAGAGCGATAGTGTTATCGCACTGTCGCCATCGCAGTGTCGCAGTGTCGTCATCGCACTATCGTATTGTCGTCATCGCACTGTCGCATTGTCGTACTGTCGTCATCGCATTTTCGCACTGTCGTCATCGCGTTGTTGCATTTTCGACTATCGCCTTCTGGTGGACGGTTCTAAACTGCTGGCGAATAAGCTGACGGTATAGAATATGGGATAATTTTACTTTTGTCAATAAATCTTTTTCTTCTTGTTTTTTCTTTTCCTTTTAAATTTTTTTCTTTGTTTCTTTTCTGTATACTTATAATGTTTAAATAAAATTATAAATTAATAGTAAGAATCATTTTATATATAAATTCTGAAAGAGTTACACATAGACGGAAAATGTAATAAATTTTGTGAAACTTTAATATACAATGTAATAGAAATATTTCAGATGAAAATGATCTTATGTTGACATTTAAAAGATGCAAAAAAATAAAATTATTGTTTATTTCTTGTATAAAAAAGACAAACAATATATATTCATAGATCGTCATCAGTGGTTTTATTGTTTTGTAAGATGTATAATTTATTATATTACTAACATTGTAAATAAAGATACATGTAATTAGAAATTTACGTCAACACATAATTTTTCTATATATCTAACATAAGTGGTCAACAGTTTTCACTTTAAGATTAACTTAACAGCAGATCCTACTATAAGTTTAACTGGTCAGCATATTGTTCTATAGCCAACTGATGCGACAATGCTGGTGGACATAGTGAGACAATGTGTTTCAATGTTGAAAAACACATCTATCCATTATATTTAATCCGGAAAAATTCTGTTTATTTTTGTTGTTGTTGTTTTTATATTTCTTGCAGAGAGTAAATAAATATGATTAAATAAATAAAAATAAAGAAACAAAAACATTTAAGATATACCAGATTTCTGTGACCACTTGTTTTTTATATAGCCAAAGTGATTTTAGCTCAACCTTGAGAAACTGCTTATGAACAGAGGAAAATGATATTTGCAGTGATATGCAGTGTATATTAGAATCTGCTGACCAGTTAACCCATTACGACATAAGCATTTTGTGAAAAATGGCTGTTTTTATTGAAAAAAAAACCTGTTACACAAGTTGAAATTGCTATGAAACTATAACGTCGGTGGTTCTACTCAGGTATCTGTTTGTGCCTGAAATAATGCACGGAAGGGCACTTGAGGTCTTCCTCCACCAGTAAAGCTGGAACGTCGCCATATGACATAATACTGTGTCGGTGCGACGTAAAACCTAATCAATCAACTATGAAACTATAAATAAATGCTTTAATACTGATCAACTTTGGCACAAATGTTTACTGAGCCATAGTATTTGTATCTTAATTTTCTGTTACCATGACAACGAGGGGCCATTTCAAAATCACTATGATGTGTTAATTTTTTCCATCAAAGCTGCAACTCCCCGATTGGTCGGGATAGAGTGAAAGGCTTTCAGCTTTAAGATCGGCCTGATGCCATTTTGAGCCTCTCACAAGTCCAAATTATTTTTTTTTTGAAGTTAAGTGGGGCGGCAGTCCTGTACTATTGTCTGAATGACCGATGGTCAGTTATAACCATAACACTGTTAAATATATATAAATTTTATTCTAAGTACTAGAGCATATGTTTACATATTAAAGCATTCTATTAAACTGCTTTCAGAGAGACAAATCTACACTTGAGTTAAACCCACGTGACTAGAGAGTATATCATATTACACAACACCCCCTTACTAAAGCTTGTAAGTTCATTCATTTATTACCTCAAATATTTCATTAATAACAAATTTAAACTCTGTGAGAAAATGTGAAATGTAATTTAAATATCAATTATGTTTTTAAACACACATTATTGAATAATCATTAAATCCTGTCAACATGTAATCATTTGTTAAATCAAGAACAACATTACAAATTTAATCTATCTGGGGGTTTACTCAGTCTGCCTGATCTAGTAATTACACCTGCACACTGATTTTGAGACACTTGTTTATCTACATAATTAGACACTGAATTAGTTGGTACTGTAGACAAAAAAGTTTTTGAGGTCTTATAATTTTCATTGAAAGGAATATCTATTTCTTTATCAAAGTCAACTTGTTTATGCAACTTAACTAAACTACGGCGATTTCTTTCAATGGTAGAATTCGGTGTCTCAACTATAAAAGATCGTGGTCGCGAAGCTTTCTTAATTACTCTACCTTCTATATTCATGTATTTCATATGTACTCCGTCCCCTTCCTTTAATGAAGGCAAATTTTTCTTTTTCTGTCATAATTTTGCTTAGCATTAGCACGGTATGTTTTCTCTCTATTTTGAAGTACTTTAAAATTAATATTGCTTGGTAGCAGTTTTTGTGGTGCTTGTGGAAGAGTTGTTTTAATCTGCCTACAAAATAACATTTGACTTGGACTTAAACCATTGTGCGGTAATGGAGTCGCATGATAGATCATCATCGCTTCATAAGGGCCGTCGCATTTAGACATTCACAATAAGCGTTTTACAGTCTGAACAGCGCGTTCTCACGCCCGTTTAACTCACAACGAGTGAAAAATGTCCATCGGTAAAAATGTTGTGAGCAACTTCCGTTCCTCGTTGTGAGCACCCATCTTTGACGTGTGACACGATAAACAAGGTGAGTTTTTCATAATTTTTGAAGATTACAGACATTTATGGTTCTGCTTCCGAATTCCCTAAGGGATATCGTTGACTACTTGTTACATGTTCGATTCCGTATTTCATACAAAACTGTTTGAATACATCAGAGGTGTATTGCGGCCCTCCATCAGAAACTATGGTATCGCAAAGGCCATGTCTCGATAATATTGACTTGAAATGTTCAACGACCGTCATCGAAGACGTTGACGTAAGTCTTGATAATTCTATATATCGTGAAAAGTAATCTACTTCTAATAAATATGTATGCCCGCGCCAATGAAAAAGATCTGAACCTAATATTGACCAACTTCTATTAGGAAATGGAGTAGATATCTCTTTTGAAATTTTGCACAAATATCACAATTCTGAACCATTTGCTGTATGTCACGTGATATGCCTATCCACCAAACTGATTCTTTTGCCCTTGCTCTACATTTTGAAATGCCTTGGTGAGCTTGGTGTAACTTAGATAGAATGTCTAGTCTCATGTCTGTCGGAATGATAAGTCTGTCATTTCTCATTAACAAACCTTTATTCACAGTAATTTCTGACCTAAAAGGTTTATACAATTTGGCAATTTCACACGATTCTGTACTAGGCCACCCATTATAGGTACATTCAATTAATTTGCTGCACACATAGTCAGATTTTTGTTTTGTTTTAATTTCCTCCAGCCTTTTTGTCTGTAGCTGAATCAACATACAATTCATTTTCATTACAATTTTGATAGTCAGTAAATGTTAAGGTGTCACATTCAGCACGCGACAAGTAATCAGGAATATACATCAATTTTCAAGGCACAAAGCTTATTGAGTAGGAGAATCTTAGCAGTCTCATTCTAAATCTTTGTACCTTTACCGGTAGATCACTCAAGTCCTTTTGTCCTAAAAGACTAACAAGACTTTTATGGTCAGTTTTGATATGGAAATGTTTTCCAATCAAAAGGTCACTATGTCGTTCAGCCCCAGTAACTACGCCAAGAACACTGTATCTAACCTCTGTGGGTGTAAATGCACTTGACGTAAATGATACTGGCTTAAAGTCACCATTGTCTTGTTTCTGAAGAACTACACTTCCGGTAGCATATTTTGAAGAATCTGTCATGAGAACAGTTTCCCTATTTGGATCATAATGAGCTAACACTGGAGTATTGGTCAAAGTAAGCTTGATTTTATCAAAAGTTTCTTGTTGGTCTGAACCCCAGTAAAATTGATTTTTCGTACTCAGCAGATCTCTGATAGGTTTCGAGTCTGCTGCCAAAGATGGAGAAAATTTCCCAAATTGATTGACCATTCCCATAAAACTACGTACCCCATGTATGTCTTTTGGAGGACATAAATTTCTTATGGCCTTAACCTTGTCCGGGTCTACTGAGATTCCATGTTGTCCTACTAAGTATCCAACAAATTTGACCTGTTTTTGCTTTATGACACACTTATTTTCATTCAGTGTTACATAACACTGGTCTAGTTTGTCCAAAACTGTCCTAAGTCTAGTGTCATGTTCGGCCTCTGTCCGTCCGAATATCAGGACATCATCTGTTTGGCAAAGAACTCCTTCAATGCCCTCAAGTATTTGAGACATCCGTTTTTTGGAAATATTCAGAACTACTAGATAACCCCATTGGTAAGCGATTAAACGCGTATCTACCAAAAGGTGTGATAAATATAGTCAATAATTTACTTTCTTGAGCAAGTTTAATTTGCCAAAATGAACTATTAGCGTCTAATTTTGAAAAATATTTTGCTCCAGTTAAACGACCTAAGCTTTGTCGGCAAAGGAAAATTTTCACGTCGCACATTTTTATTCAACTGTGTCAAATCAACACATATGCGCACGTTATTGTCGCTTTTAGGAATACATACCATTCCTGCACA